GCTCACCGCAACCTCCGCCTCCTGGGTTCAGGCAATTCTCCTGCCTCAGCCTCCTGAGCAGCTGGGATTACAGGCACGTGCCACCATGCCCAGCTAATTTTTTGTAGTTTTTAGTAGAGACGGAGTTTCACCATGTTGACCAGGATGGTCTCGATCTCTTGACCTTATGATCCGCCCGCCTCGGCCTCCCAAAGTGCTGGGATTACAGGCTTGAGCCACCGCGCCCGGCCTAAAGTTAATTTTTATATTGAAATTTGTATCTTAATAAAGTCAGTGAGAGTCATACTTTTGCTTTCTGAAATTACTGCTTTGCTAACTTACTTATGTGGCAGACACACAGATCCATGGTACGGTTATGGAAGGCCCTGAATTACTGAGAAATTTAATTACATTATAAGAACTCAAAATAATTTCACTCTCTGGAACTCTGACTTAATCAAATACAGCCATGTGTTGCTTAACAATAGGGATGTGCTCTGAGAAACGTGTCGTTAGGTAATTTTATTGTTGTACAACTCACAGTGTGTACTCACACACAAATCTTGATGCCTACTACACACCTAGGCTACATGGTATGACATATTGCTGTTAGGCTACAAACTCATACAGCTTGTTACTGTACTAAACACTGTAAGCAACTGTAACATGATGGTAACTTTGAATATCTAAACATCATATCTAAATATAGAAAAGGTAACAGTAAAAATATGGTATTATAATCTTATGGGACCACTGTCATATATGCAGTCCAAGACATCATTACATGACACATAACTGTATATGGAATATATTAGTTATATCTATGAAAAACACAAGGCTTTCTGAGAAACATGATCACCCATTTCCACATTTTACAATTAATACTCATTTGCTATTTTGTATTCACTCTGCCCCCTCCTAGCCTGTGACAGCTGAAGAATGGTAAAGGCACCAAAGAATTGAGAAAAATTTGTAGGAACAAATTATTAAATTGATAAATGTTATTAATCATTCTCTCCCTCTTGAATTTGTGACAGTTCACTCTTACTTTATTTAATTGGTAGAACAAACCAGTCCTGCTCCTAGGATGCCAATATACTGAACAGCCTTAGATTTGAATATCATATTTTTAAGTAATTTTCATCATCAAATTTTAAACTTCTCTTAGAAATCAAATTTATGTTTCTCTTTACAATATTGTTTATTGTGATTTTTGGTCCATATACTTCCACTGAACATATTGAGGTATGACCAGTTTAGACCACTTTGATTCTTGGACTGACAGTTTGTAATTCACTTGCTGCTTTACTAGTCCTTTCCCTATTGTTCTCAAAACTATACAGTTTACACATCACATTATTAAATACATACATGTAATGGATACTGTGATTTTATGTATCATCAGTTGCAGCTAGCTGAGCTGTCTTACACACTACCCTCCTTCATCAGTCAGCATGCTAATAGTATAAACAACCCCTTGGAGAAGAACTATATCAATACAAGATAGTTGATCTAAAATATCAGTAAGAAATATTTTTCAAGAAAGCTTTTTCAGTGCTTTTGCTATGGTGATAAAATAAAGTTATTTTCTGGAGTAAAAATCTATTAAAAAGAAAAATCTAGTAAGGAGTTGGAAAATGACAACAAAGAAGAGAGATCAATTACTTATGAGTGACTTTAGATAACTGACTAAATTATTGTTTAATAGATATTTGAAAACATTTTTTTTTTTCCTGAGATCACTTACTTCAAATTGAAACTTTACTTGAAACAGTGTCATTCTTCTTTTGGTGCAGTTCTCTACTTTAATAATACTTCTATGCTATATATCATGAATTATGCAAAGTTCAATTATGAAATAAAGATTACTTGACTACAATATCAAAGATTTGGGGTCCTAGTAGATGCTGTCACTTAACTGTAACTCAGAGATATTAGAGAAGTCAATCACCTCTCCATTATCACTATCAAAATTGAGATAAAATTTTCTCTAAAATATTTTCTGAATAATTAAATCAATTGTAAGTAAAACAAAGTAATACTTTGAGGTTTGCTGGGAAATATTAGTCTAATAATGAAGTTATAAAATAAATATGCTGTAAAGTTATGAATATCCACTGAACTTGAGCTGTTAGAAGTACAAATATATATTTCTTTAAAAAGTTGTAAGATGTCCCTAGAAGAAAACCTAAGCAAAACCACTCAGGACATAGGCATAGACAAGGACTTCATGACTAAAACACCAAAAGCATTAGCAACAAAAGCTAAAATAGACAAACGGGACCTAATTAAACTTCAGAGCTTCTGTACAGCAAAAGAAACAATCATTAGAGTGAACAAGCAACCAACATAATGGGAGAAAGTTTTTGCAATCTACCCATCTGACAAAGGGCTAATAACCAGAATCTACAAAGAACTAAAACAGATTTACAAAAACAAACAAACCCATCCAAAAGTGGGAGAAGGATACGAATAAACCCTTTTCAAAAGAAGACATATATGAGGCCAACAAACATATGAACAAATGCTCATCATCACTGATTATTGGATAAATGCAAATCAAAACCACATTGAGATACCATCTCATGCCAGTTAAAATGGTGATCATTAAAAATCTGGAGACAACAGATGCTGGAGAGGATGTGGAGAAATAGGAACGATTTTTCACTGTTGATGGGAGTGTAAACTATTTCAACCATTGTGGAAGACAGTGTGGCGCTTCCTCAAGGACCTAGAAATAGAAATTCCATTTGACCCAGCAGTCCCATTACTGGGTATGTATCCAAAGGATTATAAATCATTCTATTATAAAGACAAATGCACTCGTATGTTCATAGCAGCACTGTTTACAACAACAAAGACCTGGAACCAACCCAAATGCCCATCGACGATAGGCTGGACAAGGAAAATGTGACACATATACACCATGGAATACTATGCAGCCATAAAAAACGAGTTCGTGTCCTTTGTAGGAATATGGGATGAACCTGGAAACCATCATTCTCAGCAAACTGACACAAGAACAGAAAATCAAACACCACATGTTCTCACTCATAGGTGAGTGTTGAACAATGAGAACACATGGACACAGGAAGCAGAGCATCACACACTAGGGTCTGTTGGGGGGTGCCAAGGGAGGGATAGCAGGGGGGTGGGGAGGTTGGGGAGGAATAACATGAGAGAAATGCCAGATGTAGGTCACTGGGGGATGGAGGCAGCAAACCACATTGCCATGTATGTACCTCTGCAACAATCCTGCATAGGTATATACATGGCAATGTGGTTGTATGTACAAACTCCTAAAGTACAATTAAAAAAAAATAATAAAAAAGTTGTAAGATGTCAATTTCTACCAAGAAGACAGTTTAAGATTCTCCTATGTTTCAATGGTGAAATATGCACACTCACAGTAAGGTGATAACAGATCTTATATATTATTGAATATATAAAATTATTTGTAATGAACACTAAATTTTAATTAAGTCCAACTTTTACTTTTGATTTGTGTAAATTTAAAAAGTACAGGTGCAATTATGTTACCTGGGTATACTGCATAGTGGTGGTTTAGATTTTCAGTGCATTCATTACCCAAATAATGTACATAGTACCCAGTAAGTACTTCACACACACACACACACTCACACACACACACACATACACACACACACACACACACACACACACACACTCTACCAGAGCACAAAGTTCAAGCAATAGCAGAAATATTATTATATATGTTGTTTGATATATGTATTCATGGGAGTATGTAGAAGGATACAGACAATACTGTATTTCACATATGTAGTCATGCATTACATAATAATGTTACTATCAATGATGGACCACAAATACATATAATCTCATAAAATCATAATGAAGCTGAAAAATTCCTATTGCTTAAGGACATCATAGCTATTGCATTACAATTGCCTATAGCATTCAGTGCAGTAACAAGTTGCACAGGTTTGTAGCCTAAGAGCAACTGACTATGCCATGTAGCCTGTCTGTACAGTGGCCGCTACTAACTCGGCTTATGTAAGTGCACTGTATGATGTTCACACATTAAAACTGGCTACTGATGCATCTCTCAGAATGCATCCCCATTCTTAAACTGACCATATATTGTAATACGGTCATAGACATAGACACACATATATACAAAATAATTATAACAAAGTTCACAGTTTCATTACTGTATTTTATATTTCCAAAATACTTTAGAAGCATTAGCTTGTTAATTCTACCCTTTCTTCAGGGCTCTATTATACAAGTTGATCTTTATTCAATGAGTGAATGTTTTATATTTCGTTACATACTCAGCCCATTCCTTTTTTTGATACCTCAGCAGGTAGTTTGTTCTTAAAATTTCCTAGAGTTACAAACAATGGCAAACAACCCCCCATTGCTACTCGGCTAACGAGAGTCAGGTGGAAAGCGAGGTGTAGTTTTACACATAATTTCATTAGCATATAAGAGCAGCAGTGGGTGTGGAATATTATTATCTGGCACCAGGGAAGTGAAGCATTTTCCACTGAGTTCTTACTGTATTTCATAACTATCAAATACTCTTCTTTCCACAATAGTCACTGTGTTTTATAGTTGGGAATCAAGAAAAACCCGAGTAAGCTGCAGTATGAAATTAGATGCTCTGAAGAGGGGGCAGTGCATACATTTACGGGGAGCTTCCATCTCCCAGCTGCCTCAACAGCCTCAGTCAGGTCCAAAGTTTTCAACTGGCCCCATGTGGTACCTCTAAGCCTGTGTTTCTAAGATTCGATTGGAGGTGAGGAGATGCTCAGGCATGGGCAAGACTTCTCATATAAGTTATTAAGAAAACATTTAAACAGAAGGGGAAATTCTTGTTACATTCTGCCATACTTAATTTTTCTACTACTAAACCGTAACATTGAGCTTTATATCAGTTTATTGAAATATTTCAAGGTTGCAATTCTGCTGTGAGACTTACGTTATTTACTTATTCTGTCAGTAGAGGGTTGGTGATATCTCACTTCTCCAGGAATGTTATTTACTGCTGGAACTGACTCTGTTTCATATATGTTTTTAACTAGACATTTTATTTAAAGAGTCAACATTTCTAAAAATATAAGTGCTTTTAGAATAGCATGCAACACTGTTGTTTTGGGAGTTTAGTTTTATATTTGTGTTTATACCAATTAACATGGCAGTTATTACAGGGAAAACAATGGGAATTAAAAGGTCTCAGTTTACAGAAAGAACACTTATTGGAAGAAATTAAGATATAAATCATTTATTTAAATTTCTTCTACGCCAAAAATATATATTAGTATTCTCACTAACCCCTGACTCATGAACCCTTTAAATTGCTCTTTTTAGCTGTGCTTAATTCATTATGATTTGCTATAAATCATATATGACTCATAAAAGCAAATTGATCATTATAATTCACAGTTATTGCTCTAATGAGCCAATTTAAGTATAAAAAGTATAGTTGAGGTTTCATTTAATCTGTGCCACCGTCTTGCAAGTAAATGCAGAATTTCCATTAAGCTTTGATGCATGTAAATACAGCTCAGTATATGGTTTTAATAAAAGGAGCCGAGGGTGAAGAAAGTAGAATTGTATATCTGATGTTTAGCTAACTATAGAGTGAAGCTAGATCAACTTAGTTGGTCCTTACCCAATGCAGAGAAAATTGCTGCAGCCCAGAACATTTCTCCCATCAGGGCAGGAATAAACAGGAGTCCGCCCATGCGTTTTCCATAGATTTGCTGAAATGGGTCTAACATGGTCACATACCCCTTTGAACGCATAGGTTTTGCAAAGAACAGACCACCTAAAAAATTAAACAAGTGTTTCAGAGAAATTTTCTTTAAAAACATGCAATATAATAGTCTTTTACTATGCTGACATTTCTCAAGGGAAATGCATTTTTCAGAACACCTGTATGGATTAAGGAAACAGTCTGAAATACAATGTGCACAGAGTACCAACCTACTATAAATACGAGGTTTAGCAACCTAATATAAATTATTTAGCACACTTACCATTGTATGTGTCCAAAGGACAAGTGGACCATATTGAAGTATGTGAATTAAAAAACATGAACCAGCACATTGCTCACTTAAATGTCTAATGCATTTCTACCACCCAACATAGCATTTAGATGTTTTGAATAAGTGCAGATTCAATAAAAGCCTTTGAGTGCCAAAAAATGAGGTACCTTCTGTTATATAATACTTTTGACCTCTTAGTCATTTGACTTGCTAAAAGAAATACAGGTACATTTCAAGTTGATTCATTATTAATGATATATCCATATGTGTTTTGAGAGAAATAATACATGATTTTGTTAAGAAATTCACTGTGCTGATAGCCACAGAATCAAAGACTTTAAAAATATATTCCATAATCAAGAGATCAAATAATCTAAGCGTTAGTGTTCTGCTACTTACCAATTTCTGGTAACAGGTCCTTAGAAATCTCTGGGGATATTTCTTTTTCTTTTTTCTTTTTTTTTTTTTTTAACAATGGTTATTTACAGCGTTTGACTTGTTATTCCACTTGTTGTTTATACTCGTTCTTTATGCTTTACAGAGTGAGTCACTGAGATTTGCACTTTCACTTACCTAAAATCAGACTAAGAGAATATCCAATTGGTGCCTGAGCCCAAGCTAGGCCATAATCCGGTACATAAACTGCTTCAGCTGTGCCATTGATATACCCTCCTCCGACCCAGGTAGCTGAAACAGAATGAAAAGTGAGGGAGCGATACTGCTTTGCCTGTTATACCTACATCTGCCTGCCAAACCCAGTGGCTACTACAGGTTATTGAACACCTGAAATGTGAATAGTCTGGATTGAGTTGTTTTAGGAGTGTAAAATATACACCAGATTTCAAATGTTTTTTCTTTCATTGATCATATGTTGAATGTATTGAGTTACATAAGTTATATTATTAATGTTAATTTACCTATTTCTTTTTGTTTTTAGAGGTTTGTAGAAAATTTAACATTATGCTTGTGACTCACATATTTCTATTGGATAGTGCTGTCCTAGATGTTTTCAAAATGCAACATTTTCATGATATTGTATATTATATAGTCTGAGGTCATGGGTAAAATTTCTTCATATCAAGGCCCTTCCATTTTAATTGTATTGATGTTTTTATACTGTCCTCCAGGAGTGGTGTGTGTGTGTACATGCATGTATGTAGGTGGGCATGTGTATGTGGAAATGTGCTTTTCACTAATACAGTCTTTTCTTAAACACTCTGGGATATCGAAGCTTGCAACTCTTACCTCCATCACCACTAAGTTGTATTTACTACTAAGAGTGAAGACAGAATCGAGATGACGCTTCTACTACAAGGTGTCCAAAGTGAGTTTAAATGTTACCTTAAGGCCTAGACTACTTAGCACTCAGAAGAATGTAAAATGTGAACTACATACGCATTTGCAATTCTATGTTCTAATATGGACCTTTTAGTAAGGTATTTACTATTTGACAGGAAGTAATTATAGATGTCTTATTCAGATAAATAATATTTCAATAGCATAATAGCTGAGGGAAGGCAGTGAAAGAACCAAAGAAAATAAGTTTTGATCTGACAGGTTTGAGCCAAGAATTATCTACAGATTAATATTTTCTTCAAATAGGCAATATAATGCTAGTACCATTTTCTCTGAGGAAATAATATAATATTGAATCCTTGCTTAAAAACTAATGTTGAAGAGAAAAACAAATCTTTGCTCTTTATGCCCTTTTGAGGTTACAGTGTGGTCAAAATATTCAAAACAATCCTTATGTAGAATTTGTGTAAAGTTATGAGGGTCACAGGTGGTTTACCAGATATGAGGCTGAATTCTAGGTTACATTATCCTGTTAGAAATAAAATTTAACTCTGATGAATTTTCTAAAATCTTGCAGTTAGAATGTAAGTAAATGAAATAATATCTATAAAAAACTACCTAGGATATGTTTCTATTGTTTATGCTAAAATTTACCTGGCTTTTAATATAATACAAAGCAAAGAAGAGGGAGTCTTAGGGTTGACATAAAAAGATTTTCCTAAGTAGGAATTTTAAGTACATACAAATGAAAAGTTTATATACAAAATTCTGAAGACAAACACATATTTAGCAATCACTCCCACCTTTGCTGTAGCTTTTATGCCCAGTGTTAATAAAAAATGCCATAATTCGCTTTTCTTATTCTAAGCCCTGCTGAAATTTTAGAAATGGCTTTTTTAAAAAAAATTCATTCTGTGTGCAACCATGACCTGAAGAAATGAATTCTCACAGGCGGAGAACTTGACGCTTTAACTTTCTACTAGGTAACTGGAATTGCAAACACTTCAGTGTTTCACTGCATGAAGTAAATGGTCTGATGATCTTATAAGCACAAAGCTCATTAGTGATCATTTGTCATTGTGTAAGCCTACTGTCCCTTGTCCAAAGAGAAAATTGGTGCCTGAATTATTGCAACTATTGTAATATAGAAGTGAGGACTTGGTTACTTACTATGATTTAAAAGTCCCCCTTTTTAAATGAATTTAGCCTCTTCTATGACAGCATTTGCTCTCCGTGTTTGTATATTTTGCGTCAGATCCATGAGTGAGAACACAAACACTTAAAATATATTCATTTTTAAAAGAATCAATATTTTGATCTTGGTTTTTTATAAAATATATCCAGATCAATCAGTCCAACAAGATTAGGTAGTATGGTTCAGATTTTAAATGAGTTATGATATTGACCAAGGTTATTTTGAGTTCTGAGAAAGAAAAAAAAAAAGCTTTGTAAACTGAGGAAGACCACGGCCCTTTATAAAATATAGCATCATTCAAATATTTTCTATACATTCTAGTAGTGTTTTAGATTGGAAAAAACCCTTCTAAATGGTAAAAACAAATTATTAAATATTTTTATGGCCATGTTAAACAGAATATTAAATAAGAACAATAGAGGGTTATAATCATTTGCCATAAACAACATATTTTGATATACAGCAACTTTCTTCTTCTTTCTACAGTGTTTACAAACTGTGCACCTTTTGAAAGAAATTAAGTGAAACTAGTTACAGGGTTGCATGTAGCACAGCATGGGGTGGCCCCCAGCATGGCCACCGGAGAACCGTGTGTGGCTCTGACTCCAGCTCTGGTCCTTGTTAACCTTGTAACCCTGGATCTTCACTTAACCCCAGAGCCTCATCACAGTGCTGTTAAAAAGACCAAATGAATCCACGTACAGTGGGTAAAGAGCTAAACAAAGATAAAATGTGAATGTCTGAAAGATAAAACTGATGGTTCACACAAAACACTGTAGGTTTCAGATGGCCAAAATCAAGGTGTTCAGAACATGGATGGCCTCTTTCCAGACTCGTTTGGTAAATTATCTGATGTACAGGGTGAATCATTTTAAAATTGCACTTCAGGATTGAAATTGGGCATCACTGGATATAATTTCCCATGGGATATTTTTCCAATGAACACTCAGAGTTCCTGTTACGTTGCAAATGTTTAAAAACTCTACTAAGACTCTGTAATGAAATATGTGTTGTTAGTGCAACTGTATTAAATATTAAACATGTAATTTTAAGTTGGTGTTTTTCAAATTATTTTCAAAGACAAAGAAGAATATAAAAAAGAAAGAAATCACCCTTTAAACAGAACCACCTTAGTGCAAAGTAGGAAAGAATATTAGCTCCTGCTAACACAAAGAAGGTTTAAATGAGAGATGGCTACAGATGGTGGCCTGGGGATTCCTAGGAGGACACGCCCTCGCTTTTCTCTTTTATAACGAAGTTGGTGAAATCTCTTTATTAGTGCTGTGGAGTCATAACATGTGATTGTCTTCCTGTGAGGAATTAGTTATTAAATGAAAGAATTAGGTTTTAAAATAGGGCAGTACTCAGTTGGGAATATTATCACCCCCAAATTTATGCAGATTAAAAAACATCACTAGTTAGTATTCATTGACACTTATTTAAAATTCAAAGTCACAACTTTATGCATGTATTACTGGACATGCTGAGATGCTGCCTATTAATTTGCAGATACATAACTTGTAATACTAGGACAGCTTCCCATTCCCCCACCTCTTTATTTTTACTGTTTCCACCCACTCAGCAGCCCAGAGAGCCAAGATTTATTTCATGGCTATTCAGTCCAGTGATTTATTATAAAATCATTTTTGTTCAAGTATTACTGAGTTGAAACCAATTTATTTTTAAGTTTTAAATGAATAGAAAATTATTTTAAAATTATATAACTAGTGAACATAAAGAATCCCCAATGGGCAAAAAGCATTGTCATTCTGAAGCCACACTCTGAACACTCACAGATGTCAAGGAAGGAAGGACAGCATGGAGCAGGCGGCCTCTGAACATACCTGTCATGGTAAATCCACCAACCAACAAACCAATATCTCGGCCTCCAACTATGATGGCTTCGCTGCGCTCTTCTGCGCTGCCACTGTTTTTGGTCCTCCAGGCAGCCCATATTCCGACTAGCAATATTAGAAGGTAGAACACGATGATAGCTATCAGTCCTTCCACATGGAAAGCCATTTTTATCTAATGATCCTGATTCTTCTGCAGCTGGCTACTTCATTAAGACTTCTGAAGAAAATACAGGAATGTATTATAAATCAGTCAAGCACTATGCACATGTGGGCAGCCAGGAATAAACCAGCTGGCTTATGCGAGATCCCGTGACTCTCACAGAAAGAGTACAACACCGAAACCACATGTGAAATGGACAGTTACCAGTAAGTGTCCACTATGTTATCCTACTTCATTTAACAATTTAACATTAAAGTTTTCAAGAAACAGAAAAAAAAAGTGGAAATGTAGTTTAACAAATGAAATCATAATCGTTTTGTGTTTCATACATGCTTTAAATTTAAAATTAGCCTTATCATACAAATCTCAACTCAGTAACTGTCAAATCATTTACAAAGAGTAGGGCTGTATTTGCGGTTTGGAACTAAGTTACTCTTCTAGAATTATTATTCACATTGTTTCATAAAGGCCTATTCTGAGAAGTTTTATATATCAATTTTTTATTCATTCTTTTATCCTTTCAAAAAACTTCAGAGAATGGCTTCAACAGTAATCTGAAATGAAAATATCTGAAAAAAATGTTTAGAAAAATCAATTTCAAAAACACATCAAACTCCACATTTTCAACAAGTTTCTGTAGTTCAAGTTACTGTAGTAACTAAATATGTTTTTGTTGTTTAAAGGATCCACTCTCTTGATTTTCTTTTTCGCCGAACGTCGTTCATTCAATTCATCACCCCCCATTATGATACGTACAAGAAAAGGACAAAAAAAGATTGCCTAAAAACACAACAGAAGGGTCAAAGCGATTAAACGCAAGACTCTTAGAAGACAGATGTCAAGTTCGAAAAGCATTCACCTTCTGAAATTCTTGTTCTCTTTTATTTATTTTTTGCTTTCGTAACCACGGCTGTTCCATGAACCCCAACTCTCAAACACAAGTTTCTGGAGAAAACTCTGATATTTGTCCATGCAGGTGGGTGAAGAGGTTTTTGGGGAAGGAATCAGCCTCTCTGGGATTTAGAGGAGGCAAAGGAAGCGCCCGCGGGCTGGGTCTTCTATGCCTTTGTGAGCAACCAAGCAAGCAAGTTCCTCTCCGCAGCAGCCGGGTGCTCTCCCGGCCCCCTGCGGCCCTTCCTCGCCCCCCTCTACCCATCTCCTGCCCCCAGACTTTGTAGCCTCTTGCACCCTGACAGCAAAGGCGCCAGACAACAAACCCGCCCTTGCATCCCACCGAGAGGCAAAAATGCCGAGTCCCTCCCCTCTAAATCCGCCCGGGCTCGGTGCCCACAGCCTTTCCGAGGGCGCGGCCCCCTAGGCGCAGGAATGCCCGCTCCGCTCCTACCTGGAGTGGTAGCTGCAAGGGAAAGCGCTCCACCCGGGGCCGCCGCCCCCTGGAACCGTGAGGGGTGTGGGGGCGAGGGTGCAGAAAGGGAGGGTGCGGGGTGGGTTAGGGGTGCAGTGCGGAGGGGGTCCGGTCGTTCAGGGCGGCTCCCCACACGGCGTCTCCAAGAACCTGGGAAAGCTCAGAGTTGACAGGTGTGGGCGCCGGCGGAGGGCGCGCGGGGCGAGGTGGCAATCGATCGAGTATTGGGAAAAGTCCCCTTTATAAGGGCGGCCAGCGGGGGCGATCGTCAGAGCTCCGGAGGCGGACGTCAGAGGAAAGTGGTGCTGGGGCGTGTGCTGGGGACGCTGCCCTCGCAAGGAGGGTGGGTGTGCGGGATGCGAAGGAAACGGGGCCCGAGGAGCCGGGGGAGTGGGGGCAGGCTGGGCTCTGGTCCGCGCTGCCGGCCGTGGTATCCCCATCCCGAGGCAAGTCCCTACCACTCCCTTCTCCTCCTCCAGAAAACTGGGCAGCGATCCCTTAGGGTCATTCTCCATCTAACTTCTCATCACTCTGGTTGGAAGCGGGGAATGGGGAGGGTCTCAGAGTATTCTGTTTTCAGAAGCAGCAGCTGGAAGTCTAGTAGAGAGAAGTGTCCTGCTCTTGTCTTCCCAGATCAGAGCCTGGAATTGTTTCCTGACGCGTCTCTCTGAGAGGGAAGGGGTCCTCTCCCGCGGCCTCTCCTGGGCCCTGCTGGAAGCTGCTCCTGGTGTCCCTGGTGATGGGCTCCCTGAAGGAAACATTTCAAGAAGGTTTAGATAGTCCTTTCTACATTCCTACCCCTTCCGCTTGAAGGTAGGGCTACCGTAAAAGACGCTAGGTGTGGTCCAGTTTAACACGGAGATTATCACAGAAGCCAGACAAGATGGCTTTTCTGATAGAGCCCTCTGGGCTGCTCGCCTGCTGAACCTCCCATTCCAGCTTACACAAATTTGCCATGTTAGTTTACAGTATATTTATATGTCTACCTATTTTTATAACTAGATTATTTATATATTACACATATAAATAGGTATCTATAGATGTATTTCGACTTCTAGGTGTATATGGATAGATGCAGATATATGGGTACATGTGAATGAAGGAAGAGAGAAGGGTGGGAGAGAACAAGATAGAAGAGCCACAAGCCACAAAGGCACAAGCACTCTGGCCACCTTCTCATGTCTTTCTGCATTCCACTATGACAGTGTATTTTAACAGTGAAATACACAAATCTAATAAAGGATAGAATAAGTTACAGTACCTCTGAACTACTGTCCCCCTCTCTAGGCCAATCAGACCATCTCTTCTTTTCTTACACAGGATTTTGAACTTTCAAATTGATATTACTATCCCTTTTCTTTCTTCTCTGTATAAACAATGACTGCATACAAATACCTCGTTTGAGGTGAGATAGTCTAGGGAGTTCAAACAGAAATTAAGACAGGCCAGAAGGCCTGCAAAGGTAGTTATTTTCCCTTGGTTGTGTGACTAGTTCATTAATTTTCTGGAAAAGACTTAGGTTGTCTTTCAATATAACCCCACTTTTACATAAAAATGTTATTAATTGAAGCAATTTTAAGGAACTAACAGAGGGAAGCAGAGATGGGGTTTCATAGAATTACGCATTTGTTTTAAAAGAGGTTCATTCATTCATTCATTGTTTTTGCTTTTGTCTGCTGTAACTCATTTTCTGATTCTGGGCCTTGACCTCAGGTTAACTTATGTACTTCCTGCCAGAATATGCTTATGATGATGATGACACACAGCTTATTGCTGTAGGGGGCAGGCATGGGCAATTGCAATTTCTGAAATAGTGCACAGGCCTAAGGTCAGGGAGCTTGACTCAGATCCAAAGAGGGACTGAGAGGCAGCTGTCCTCAGAGGACAACACCATTCTTTAGGTATGAGAATTGGGAGTGCAGCCAAAGCACGCCTCCGAGTGCCCACCTAATCCACTTTGAGAAGCCAGGATCTGGACTCAGTGCCAGATCTGAGAATGGACCATGACCTTGACAGTGGCCAAACAAATTCTGGCCTGGAAAAGTGGCTGCCTTCCATGACAAAACGCACCAGTTGAAAATGACAACTGCTGATGTATTGAGTCTGGTCCTAGGGAGACATTTCCTCATTTGCTGAGTTCTTTGCACTCCTGTGGCTAAGCTAAGGATGAAGCTGTGTGTGAATTTCTGTGTCAAGGTGTACCTTCACAGACGCCCATTTCTCTTTTTTCTTTAATACTGGCATTTTACCTCTTCCTCTACTCTCTGGAGAATTTGTGATCTTACTTGGATTTAGGGAACTACATGTCAGTGGGAGATCAATTCCCACTCTGGGGGAGAAAAAGCAGGTTTTGCATTTACTAATTATTTATTTTTTTAAAAAAACACACATTTCCTAAATGCCTTTTATGTTCTGAACACTGTCTTCGATACTAAGAATACATATAGAAAATGATACAAACCTTGTTCTCAAGGTTATCCATGAAAAGAAAGAAGGAACAAAGACGTTTTTCTCCACTTCAATATACTATTTAAGTGCTGAGAAGGATGTAGCATATCTGTACAGAGATTTTAGGGAAAGTACAAACAAAAGTCTTAGTCAGATGGAGGAATTCTTCTTGGAGGAGAGGGGAGAGTCATTTATTCAATAAATATATAAAAACACCTGCTGCTTTGTGCTAGGTATATACTCAAGTCATTGAAACAAAAAGATCCCTGTCGTTAATAAGTTAAGAGTCTATGACCTTGCCATTCAAAGTATACTTCATGGAACAACAGCATCAGCATTACATTAAAAAAAAAAAAGCTTTGATAATTTGAGAATGTCATCACTTGGTCTACAAATTTTGAGCATGTTTCAAATATGATCCAAATGCATACTGAGATTGTAGGAGGCCATTTTGCTTAGGTTATTATCATTCACAATGCTCTAGTCTCCCCACACAATGTTAACTCAAAACTTTCCTACTTTTTAATGGATTACATTTAGCTTAAATTAAAATTGGCCAGTCATTTCCAAATCAGGGTGATCATCAGAATTATAGAGCTCTTTAAAAATTTCGGATACTATGGATCCACAGCACAAATTCTGATTTTGTAAACCTTGGGCAAGGGTTCGGAACTTGGTTTTCTTTCCAACCCTCTCCAGTGATCTTGGTGACAAGCTGGGATTGGAAGACTATGTGGAGTTTCAGAGTGGAAAAAACTTTGAAAGTGAAAACAGACAACTTTAGCTCAGGTTTACTAATTATGAAATATTTGAAAAATTATAGTATCTTTACTGTGTTTTAATGTCCTTATCTGTAATGTGAAAATATTAAAAAGTGTAGTTTCAATCTCATAGGAGTGTGAGAATTCACTGAAATAGCATATAGTCAGGCCTTCATCCATGGGTTCTGCATCCATGAATCCAACCAATTGGGGATTGAAAATATTTGGAACAAAAATATGTTTGTACTAAACTCATACAGAATTTTTTTTTCCTCATCAATTTCCAAACAATATAATGTAACAACTGTTTACATAGCATTTACATTGTGTTGAGTATTATTAGTATTCTAAAGGTGATTTAAAGTATATGGAAGAATATACATAGGTTATATGCAAATACTATGCCATTTTATATCAGAGAATGAGCATCTGCAGATTCTGGAATTGGAGGTGATCCTAGGTATGGAGGAATGACTATATTTTGAAACGCATAGAGCAATTCATATATTCCCTTTGGTACTCAATATATAGTGAGCAATTGAAGGTGCTGCAGTTGCTGTTACTGTTGTTTTGATTCATTATTGAAGCTTGCTGATGTTCTGGCCTCTGGCGGCAGTCAGTTATTAATACATTGCTGGTGCTGTGGATAAATGCATCTGATCTTTCTTTACCTAATGGTAAAGAAATATTTTGCTAATAACCTCAGGGGTGCTTCAGGGATTCATATATTGGGTGAACCACACCAAAACTAAGGTGTAGATTCTACTTTTTAACCAAAATTTAACATAATCCAATTTATGCCTTTGTAGATCAGGAGAGGAGTAGTGTCAGTCATCCACTTTCACAGAGATACATGTGGAAGAGTCCTCTCACTGCTTCTTTCTCAGCCTTCTCTCCCTCATCTTCCCACTCAGTCCTTAGCAACAGTTCCCAGCTTTCTTTGATAGACTTTTTTTTTTCCACCTCATAGGAGGCTAACCCTTTCTTATTCTTTTAGATTCAACTTAGATATGGAGCAAACAGAAACTTCTATGACTTATGACTTCTGTCTATAACCAGACTGGGTCATGTGTTCCTTTTCTAGGCTGTTCGCCCATGGTACTTACTGCTATATAACAATGGTCTACAGATCAGATGCCTGTTTATTGATTGGTCTGTGAACTCTGTAAAGGGGACTATCCCATTCTATTTACCTTTACCCACTGAACACTTAGCACTGTGCCTAGAATACTACTAGATAAAAGCTTAGTCAAGCTGTATTTGTTTTACAGAAGGAAAATAATAAGGCTCAAAATGGGCAAATATCTGAGAAATAATTTGATCAAAATTGAAAGTAAAAAACTGAGATTTGGAAGAAGAGAAGTGACCATTGTGGTTATTAAGTACATGTATGTCATCATGGGTTTAAATTGCATTGATTTGTATAAAGTCATACAACCAGTTAGTGGCAGATATAAAACAGAGTTCTTTTGCCTCCCGAATGAATTATTTTTAACCTTGGGTAAACAATGCTTTTACACTCAATTTGATATTTCTCTAGCCCAAAATTGTACATAGTATTTATTTAAAATCTATATTTATATTTATTTTTGCCATTACTGTAACTTAAAAATGTAGCCATAATAAGGATGGAGAAGAAATAGCTTAGGAATTAGAGCTGGTAGGGGGAAAACTGACATTTTTGGTAAAAATTTTATTACACTAATCTGAGCATGTTAGAACAGACCTTTATGTTCTGACAATAACAATAACACTAGAATTAATCACTTGAGTACACATCAATATGATTGAAATGCAATTGCCTAACAAATGCCAAGTTATTTTCTTGTGTCCTTACGATAAATGACATATGATGACTGAAGTGTCATACTTTTAAAGCAAGCAGTTATATACAAATTATACAGTTGTATAATTTCATCGTTGTAAGAATGTATGACAGTGATAAAGTGTATTTTAGAGTCAATGATTTCTCTCCATTGGTAGTATTAGTCATTCTGTGCAACATTGCTATAGTTCTTCATATCAGCATATTTTTCTTTCTGGTTATTATTCTAGTATATTACTATGAAAATATTCAAACAAATATCAAGGTTAAAA